TTTATAAATTTAAACACCCTGTAAATTAAAAAAAAATCAATTTGGCTGGACCCACACATTAGTTCCAAATTAAAAAAAACAAATTCTTGATTGATCAAAAGGAACACGTGTCCCTGAGAGTTTTTCATATATAATTTAGGAAATTCAAAATGTTTCTTTGCTAATTTTTTTTTATTGAGTATAGTTAAGGATATTATACTAATTGAAATAAAAAGCATAAGAATGTTGTCACAAGATGTGAAATATATTAATGTACAAATTATAAAATACCAGTAGGGGAGACCGGGGTAGAACGGGGGTACCGGGGCAGAACGGTGTTTTATTTAAATTTCCCGCTGCAGACGATCTATAGTACTATCGTCCATTGTTATCATTTACTAGAAGGCCAACACGTCAGTTGGTAATGACAAACGTTTTAGTGTGTTTTAGACTAAACGTGGTGAAATTGTGTTTAGTTTTATAACTTTTCGATATACATATTGTATATACCCATTTTCAGCTTCATTTGAGGGTTGGATTTTATGCACACAGTGCCAAAAATGCAATTATGACATAAATTTAACTTCGACTTTGAATAACTTTTGAACTCGTTGGTTTATCGAAAAATGATAGGAGACATTTTTTGTAGAGCGTTCAATTTCCCAACATATTTTAGTGCAAAATTTCAGGAAAAAAAATAGTTGATTTTTTGTATATATACAGGGTGTCCCAGAACTCGCGCCACATAGAAAACCGGAACGTGCCGAAAGTAACGTGAAACACATATTTGAAAATTAAAATTGTCTAACGCAAAGGATAAGCGAGATAAGAATAAAAAACGATAGCCAATCCCAATAGATGGCCATAGGGAATTCTTTAAATTGCTAGGATACTTAGGTTGCATTGTTGATAATAAAAAATATGTAAAATATTTGGTCCACTGGAATCCAATTCATTGTGACACTGCTGTCAAACTCCTGTCATTATTATTATATTAGGTTATAAATTAAGTTATTATAAATAATGTTTTTCTTAGATGATTATACTGAAATGATAATTATTTATTTATTTAGTGTGGGCGCAACGCCAGGGAGACAACGCGAGTTTTTTCCAAGCCCTTTCCTAATCGTTATTTTAAAACATTGGCGTTCTGAAGTATAAGTCATAGATTAATAACCTCATTTTTGAAAGCTTTTGACAACTTAGTAAATACAGTTGGCCAAAAGATTTTTAAATGTTTTTAATACAACAATGTTCTATCGTCTCCTAGCAATTTTTAAAGCTCTTACGTTTAACCTAGGCGAGAGCTCTCGGTATTGGCTGCCGCTTTTTTGCTCTCATTCGATTACACTATTACCTAGAAATTTTTTATTTTTAAATTTGGCATCTCCATTGCTATCGGCACGCCCCCTTTTTCTCTGTGGCGCGAGTTCTGGGACACCCTGTATATATATATATATATATATATATATATATATATATATACTATCGCTAAAAAAAACTCATACAGCTTAAAAATCTAGTATTCATGATTTTCCATCATTTGGTTGGAGTAAGTATGGCTTTTAACATAATACTTCACATTTGAAAGGTCTAAAATTAAATCAAAGTCAAATTGAAGTTTAAAATAATTTATTTCAATATTTCGTCATCCCTCCGTTTTTATAAATTACTGCCTGCAAACGACGAGGCATGGAAGTAATGAATGGTCTTATGAAGTTGCGGTCTTGCTTTATCTCGTTCCAAATGGCTTCAATAGCTTGCCAGAGTTGGTCTGCATTGTTTGGTCGAAAATTTTGTTGATAAAGTCTTTTCGTTATATAGCCCCGTACGTTTTCTATAGGGTTACAATCTGGGCTATAAGGCGGCCACAGCAAAACCTCGATGTTTGTATTTTGAAACCATGCAGTTCTGACTCTTTGATTCTACGATGTTCGCAGTCATCGAGCAGCCGGGAAACACAGTTTCATTAATAGTTTTTCGTGCCGTATTGAAAGGATCCTGGCGAAGATGGTGGATTAGTGCTTGGTCTTGGGCGTCTGTCGAGACTCTTGGCTTTCCGGATCCAGCTCTTCCATGTTCCGTCCATTGCCGCTTTACTGCCATTACCGTCATTTTGTCAATATTAAACATCATTGCAACTTGTCTTACTGAAGAACCTTGTTCCAGACGAACAATGATTCTATGTTTTTCAGCTACAGTTAAACGAGGCATGACTAATGGATGTCATAAACCAAATCTATGATGGATGTGACAAAGCTTGATGTCACCTGGACATTGACGGAAAAGTTTTATTCACACAGCCAAAATATAGCTGTATGAGTTTTTTTGTTATCGATAGATAGATAGATAGATAGATAGTTTATTAATCCAAAAGACATATTTACATATGCATAGGACAGGTCAGTATATAAATATTACCAAGATTAACAACACAAATACATTATTAAAATCTAAAAATAAATTAACATTTAGAGTGTATACAGTCTGTTCCACACTACAAGAATTTATAAATAAAAATTTTGTTACAAAAAATCTCTATGATCATAAGGACATTTACTAATTAAAAAACTTTTAAGCTCTCTATTAAATTGGTTATTGTTATTTATTATTTTAATGCTTTCTGGAAGACTATTATAATTTTTTATACCAGAATAGTAGGGTGACTTTTCATAAAGTGCTGTAGAATGTCTCGGAACACTTAAAAAGGCACCTCCTCTTGTTGAGTACATGTGAAAGTCATTATTTATATGAAATTGGGAGTAGTTTGAACGTAAATATTTCATAAGGTTATATATGTAGATACCATAGACTGTCAAAATATTATTACTCCTAAATATGTCTCGGCATGTCTAATGATCTTTTTTGTAAAACAAATACTCTATTTAATGATGTTGCTCTACCCCAAAGAACGATATTATATGGGAGTATATCATACCATAGTATACGCTCAAGAGTCCATGCCGAGACAAACTCTCCTTTATAGATAATAAAGCAAAGTTTGAGGAACTTACTCTTTTACAAATATGCTCAATCTGATTTTCCCACGAAAGTTGAGCATCTAAGGAAATACCCAAAAATTTTACAAATTTAGAGACAGTAAAGTCATTATTAAACCTATTTAAATTAGCTACACGAGGAGAGAAAAATACATATTCAGTTTTATTTTTGTTAAGAATTAGGCGATTTTTTAAACACCAGCTCGTAAATTGACTTTTGACACTCTCAACATTTTCAATGAGTTCCCCATGACTCGATGCAGATACCACCACTGATGTGTGTCGGCATACATGGTAACCACTCAATGTGTCGCGACCAAAAAGTTAGTTCTTTTTCAAAACGACATAACTTTTTTGTTTCTTAAACGATTTTATTTTGGTCTGTAACGTCTACTAGCCCCATCCTCTGGCAATTCATGCTATAGATATGCAGCTCACGGTTCTTCAAGTAAATTTCGAACAGGGTGATATGTAAAACGGTGAAAAATTTCAATAACTTCATCCAAGCCCCGTTTGAAAAAAGAAATATGTTTTTTCGTTTTTACTTTGAAATAATGAAATATTATGTCTTACCTTGAAAAGGTTTTTAAATTTTTCGAACTGGAATCTTATGATCTAATATGATTTTTTTTTTTCGAAAAGAGTACATTTAAGGGTTTTTGGTATGCAATAAACTCAGTCTTTTTAAGAACAAGAAGATAAAATGGTAAAAGATTGTTCCTTGAATAATTCTGAACAAGCGACAAGCAACAAACTTCCATTATTTTTAGAGGGGCCTAAGCAAAGACCACTTTTTCAAAATGACATTTTGGTGAAAATTTGCGAAAACTAAACCTGAACCGATATTCACGTTCATCAAGTCTTTGCTTAGGCCCTCTGAAAATAATGGAAGTTTGCTGCTTGTGGCTTGTTCAGAATTATTTAAGGAACATTATTTCACCATCTTATCTTCTTGTTCCTAAAAAGACTGAGTGTATTGCCTACAAAAAAGCCTTATGTACTCTTTTGAAAAAAATTCATATTTTCGTTGCTAAGATTCCAATTCGAATAATTTGAAAAACGCTACAAGGTAAGACATAATACTTCATTACTTTAAAGTAAAAACGAGAAAAACATTATTTTGTTACAAACGGGGCTTGGATGAAGTTATTAAAATTTATTACCGTTTAACATATCACCCTGTAGAAAATTTACTTGAGGAACCGTGAGCTTCATATCTATAGCATGAATTTCCAAAGGATGAGGCTAGCAGACAACACAGACCAAAATAAAATAGTTTAGGAAACAAAAAAGTTATGTCGATTTGAAAAAGAACGAACTTTTTGGTCGCGACACATTGAGTGGTGCGCAGTTTAGTTAGGAAGATGGTATATTTATTATATATAAATAGGTATACAAAATTTAAAAATCTAAAAATTAACACTGTTAATTAAAACATCAATATATGTTGCATCAAATTAACATTTAACTGACTAGCGCACCATACCACGTGTTGTAGAATGTTATTTTAATGAGTAGTTTTAAGAAACAATAAATTTCCATTTATAAAAAAACTGAGAACAACTTACTAATCACGTTTTTAAAATAAAAAGTTATTTTTTAATAACAATAAAATTCTGATGAAATCTGTCATCCTCAGCTGCCTTTTTCAAATTGGTTCTTGTAAAGAAAATTATACAAAGTAGAGTTAGATTTAACATTTTTATAGCCGTAAGGTTTTAGGGGAAAGAACCCGTTTTTAGTTTCAAACATGATATGTTTTCCATGCAATCTTCTGATTAACATAACATTTGTTGCTAAGAAAAAATGTGTTAACTACAATATTGAGTAACAAAAAAAAGGTTAATCTTAAACATAAAAATGAGATACCTTTACGTATTTTTAACGGCGATACTATGCTTGTCTGCAATTCCTATTAAAAAATATATTATCAATATTTATTAAATTTCTACTGTATGTCGAGGATAAAAAAACACAAAATAATTAATTTTATTAATTAATTATATCAAATATATTTGTTACCTTATATTCAATAAAACATGGCGGACTTTCCTCATCAAACCCTTCATCTTCGATATTTTGCAGCTTATTAGCTTTAAGGGCCGGCCCTTCATCGTCCACAATTATTTCCCTGGGAAGCCCCAGGACGCTTCCTAACAATAAAACAAATAAAACCAGACTAAGGAGAGCTTTTGCCATTGATACACTTTATCTAATAATTAAGTCAAAGTCGCAATTTATCTTCTATTTATATGGTAAGAAGCCGTACGATACATTTTGTTTTGATTGGGAAAAGTTTGGATTTTGGTACAGTTTTGTACAAAAATAAATTGTTTTGAAGGGTTGTTGTTAAAACAATACTAACTTAGCTTCCCTTTAATTGCAAACAATTCTATTCTATGAGATGTCAAAGGACCAATATTAAAAATTTATCTTTTTATATCTAAAAACATATATAAACTCCATCGTATTATTTATTAAATTATAAGGAAATGGTTAATGCAAAAAGTTTTTTGTTTGCTCAAAATAGACTGATTTGGATGTAGCACCTGGAATTGTTTTGCCTGCAACGCTTCCCGTATAGGGCTCCCCCAGATTATTAGTACAGTCAGTGTGGACAAGATATAATATTGATTTAACGATGTTGTAATTTAATAATTCAATATTTTTATTTTGTTTTAGTTTATCTAATGTAAAAAGAATACTGTTACTTACTTTTTGATATAGAAAGTGGTTTCTATAGAATGTAATAACCAATCAGAGCACGGCATGCTCTAACGCAATCTAACAGGTCATGTATGTTTCTAAATTTCACGTAAAAAATGTTATTACAGTTTAAAATGGAAATTGATCAGAAAAATTGCGAGATTTTCTTGCTTGTATAAAAAATATTGTACCTAACACGCGACTGATGACCTATCTCCGCTACGCGTTGTTCGTCTAACGGCAGTCGCGCACTAGTTAGGTAAATAACTATTTTTTTAATTAATGGATGACCCCGAAACCATAAAAACTCCTCCATTCCAAAGGTAAAACGGTTTTGGTATAGATTAAAACATGTGGAATTTGGACCAGAAAAAATGGATACAGTATTACAAAAAATATAAAAATTATAATTATTTTTAAAAAAGTAATCGTGAAAAGGGATTTTAAAGCGCCAAAACCTATGTATATATTTTTTATCGGATTTAAAAAAACGTACATGAGTTTTGGCTTATAAAAATCCATTTTCACGGTAAATTTTTTCGAAATTATTTTTTTTAAATTACCTAATTAAAAATGCCTGGTCACTTATTGTCCGATTCATGATTTCTAGCGGGTTTTGGGAGTAATTAACGTTTTTCGAAAATAAATCGCAGGAGAACAAGAAAATATTTTGACTTTTTTGATGGATCGATTTTAAATAGGCTTTTTAACCATTTTGGGTAAAAATATTTAAATTCATTTAATTTATCAAATATAAACCGATTTTTTAATTAAAACAAAAACTGAATGACCATTTTATATTAATTAATTATCTTTTAGTACGTTTGCATTATTTTACTCTTCAATTCCGATTTCCGGTAAACGAACAAAATTGGATAAAAAACCAGGCACAGGCAACAAAAACAAAAGTTGTTTTAAATTTGATTGCCGTTTGAGAATCGGCAACCAATAAAATTTAGTGGGTGTGAATTACATATTAATATTGATGTTTAAAACTTCATTTTCAGTAAATTAAAATTATGTTAAAAAAATAAATAAATAAAATTCTGTTTCTGCAATGAAAATTTGTGGGGTTTTAATAATTTTACAATAGAACCTGTGGGTAAAAAAAGTTATTTTTATATGCTTTAAAATTGTACGTATTTTTTAGTTTTTCAATTAATTAAATATAACTTTAAACAAACTTGAAACAATTTCAGTGGGCAAACCAAACCTTGGAAAAGTTTCACGTAAAAAATTTATTGTAACGGTGGATGTAATACTTTTAGTTTTAAAACACTCAATCCATTTACTATATGAATCCACTAAAATAAGGTAATTGAAATTTAGAAATGGTCCTAAATAATCAATATGTAACCGTGACCACGGTTGTTTAGCTTCTGGCCAAGATTTTAGTTCGCTTAATAGGGGAGAATTTGAAAACTGTTTGCAAATATCGCAACCATGATGCTAAATATGTAGTATCATGATCGCAACTTTTTACGATATTTTAAATATGTTGATCTAATTTAGGCCACCAAATATATGATCTAGCTAAGGATTTTCACTTAACTATGCCTAATTGATTACTATGCAAATCTTGTAAAATTTTTAATCCAAATTTTTGAGGAATAATTACCCTGTAACCCCACATTAAACAACCATTTTCGACCGAAAGTTCATTTTTTTTTTTGTTATAAAAAGGTAAAATTTCTGTACTAATTTGTTGACTCTGCCAACCTTGCAAAACATGCTTAATAACTTTACTTAAAATTAAATCTTTTCTCGATTTAACTTTGATTTTATTGACATTTAAATTAATATCTGTTTGTTCAGAAATTAAATTTATGTAGGAGCAATTGCTTATTTTTTCTTCACTCCTATGTTTATCATTATTATTTTCTATTAACCTAGATAATGCATCGGCCATATTTTTTTCAGATTTGATATAACTAATATCAAAATATATACTTTTTTATGCCGTATACAATAGCTAATGCCTCTTTGTCCAACTGAGAATAATGTTTTTCGTGGCAAGTTAACACTTTTGACGCATAAGCTTGGATTTCACTTTTATCTGGGAAAATATGTGATATTATTGCCCCAACCCCCACTGGACTTGCATCCACCTTTAATTTAATTGGTAACTCACTATCATAGTGTGCTAAAACTTAAAAAGTTTATACAGTGGATACATACGTGTGGAACCGTTGGGGATAAATCTGCAATAAAAATTTACCATACCCAAAACAGATTTTAGTTCAGTTATTATTGCCAACGTTCTTTCGTCACTAGTGTGCAAACCATTTTTGTCAATTATGTGACCTAAATATTGTAGCGAGTACGGCTCTGGTTCTCGGAATGATGACTCATCGTCGATGAGTCATCGCCGGTGACTCAGCGCTCGAATAATCGAGAGTGTGGAAATCGCTGGAATGTTCCAGAAGACGTGGGCGCTGAATATATAAGGAACGACGCATCATGGAGAGTCAGTTGAGCTTTGGTACTCGCGAAGAAAGAAATAAATATAAGTGCAAATAAATAAACTAGTAGTGATATAAATAATTAGTAGTTAAGTGTTTAGTTAGTTTTATAGTGTTTTAAGTAGGGATGCACCGGATCGGGTATTTTGCCGATCCGGCCGGAACCGGAATTTCTGCCGCTGGCCGGACCGGATCGCCGGAATTCCGGCCGGATCGGGACCTAAATTTAAAATGTATGTGCATGCCTATTTTTATACGTAAAACATTGAAAATATTGAGGCTGATTTATTTTTACTTTTTTTTTAAACTAGCTACAGTATGCAAAGTGTTTATTACTATTAAATTTACCTAGACAGAAATTACAGTTTATTTAAATAATAATTTTTAATTAGCGTTAACAAAATTAAAATAATTCTACTCATTCAATTGGAGAATAGCAGCCACCTGCCAATAATAAAAAAATTAAGAAGAAGTCGGGGAACCACAGCCGCCGGTTTATCATAGGCAAGGAAACATGCACACCCTTCACTGTTGACTGTTATAAGACTTATCCATGACAGGGAATTTAGCTGTTATTTTTGCTGTTGGAATTTGGCTGTTAATAATGTTTTCAGTTATTATTTATGTTTTGTAATTTTTGGAAAGAAAATATATTTTGTTCAAAAAAAAAATATTTGTGATTAATTAACGACTTAACAATAGGTGAGTAGGCACCAATTAAAAAAACCTTAAAATAATTTTCTTTATTTTTGCATATATTTGAATTTAAATTATATTAAAAATTTTAAACTTAAACATTTCCAAAAAGTTCCTAAAATTCCGGCCGGAAAGCGATCCGGCCGGAGCGATCCGGCCGGAACGGCAGTTCCGGCCAACTGGCCGGATCGGCCGGATTTAGTGGTACCGCCGGAATTCCGGTGCATCCCTAGTTTTAAGTGTAGTTAAGTAATTAAATAAATAGTTTAGTTCGTTAATTAACCAGTGCGTGTTTTAATTCACACTACGAACAGTAAAAACGTTACAATATAATGTAAAAATTTACATTTTTTTTTTACTCTTAACCCACATTCTTGATGTTTTTTAAAAACTAATTCTACGCGTAATAAGCGTAACCGGTTATTAAAATGTCATCTAGAAAACAAACTACTCCAGGGATGTTTACTAAAGTTTGTTGATAATTTTTTTTTAAATCACTGGAGCCGTGGTGATTCCAAAAGTTAAACGTGTATATGAAAATGTGTGGAGATTGTAACAATTTTTTTTGATTCATCATCAATTAAAACTTGTTAATACGCGTCCGATAAATCAAGTTTAGAAAATGTTTCACCCTTTTTAAGCTTAGAAAATAAATATTAAATACGTGGTAATGGATAAGAAACCCTTTTCAAGCATGGATTCAGGGTTATTTTAAAATCTCCACATATTCAGAACCATTCGGTTTTAATACGGGAACAGTTGATGTTCCCCAATCAGAATACTCTATGGGCTCTATGATTTTTAACTCAACTAACCTATCAATTATTAATTCCACTTTACTTTTCAATGATAAGGGAATTGGACGGGGCTTAAAAACTGGAATTTTCATTTAAACATAGGGAAATTTTTGTTTTATTAAAAGTAACTAACCCAGTTTTAAATATTTCATTATATTTATGGACTAAAGACAAAATACTTGGTTCGTTCTGAAATTGTCATCAACCAAATTTAGTTTTAAAATGCCAATATTTAATTTACTTAATCCAGTTCGGCCTAGTAACGGCGAACTACCATTTTTTAAAACAAACATTTCTAAAGTTACATTTGTATTGTTATATAAAATATTTAAATATATATAAAACATCTAAATATATATAAACAGCAAATTATTTGTGTGCAATTGCTTAAAATTAAAAAAATTTAAATATATTTCTTTCGAAATAACGTTGTGTTTTGAACCCGTATCAATTTCAAAATTTAATGTTTTCTATATTTAATTGAATTATTAAAGACTGTAAAATCGGGTTCATTTTAATTACCTTAGAGGTATCTGAATAAAATAAACATTTGTCTATTTGATCAGTTAAAGTTAGATTATTTATTTGTGAATCGCTAATAAAATGGGATTTTTTTGCGTACCTTGATTGTTTATAGTTTTTGTTCGGTTTGGAGCATCGCGCACACACGGTTGCCAAATGTCCTTTGACATGACATAGGTCACAAACACAATTTTTATACCGACACTGCGCTGGCCTTTTCTCGTAGAGCGAATGTGAGGCCAGCTTGATCCGGGTAGAGAGAAAGAAGTCTTGAAACGAGACAAGATATCTGCCTTCTCCGAATCTGTGACATACTCCTGGCCGCCTGAGTTTATGGTCCGGCATATCGGACTTTTTAGTCCTCTGCCGCCTAGCCAGCCACCTAGCCAACCGCCAAAGTAAATTGTCGGAGGCTTTCAGGTTGCGCAGAGTATCTCCCCAGGCTTCATCCTTGAAATCTTTGATCTCATGCTTCACCTCTTGCCGTAATCTATTGTACTCGCTCAAATTGAATGCAGAGTTGTATCTGTTGTACATATGTTTGTGCAAATTCTTTTGCCGTATTTTTTGAGTGATGGCAGGCGGGATATCCTCAGAGGGAGTTTTGCTTCAAAACTCGTGTAGTGAGAGTTCTTGCCGCCAACACGTTCTTTTCGAAGATTTTCAACTCCTTGACGAGGTCATAGAGTGTATCAATGTGATTATTTATAACAGTGTCTCTGTTTAAGATGTCTCTGTATTCGTTCCAATCCGTGTTTTTGTAGTCGAAGAAGCGCTTGGTCGCCGGGGGCGGCACAAATGCCTCATCTATACAAAACACGACTGGAACATGGTCAGAGTCCATCTCATGTAGAACATGTGGTTGGGTAGTGATGTTGACGTTTTTTAACACAATAACGTCAACAGTGGAGGGTATGAGGCCATTGGGGGGATAATGAGTCGGTTCATCTGTAAATCCTATGTTGAACTGGGTGTTCAACACAAAATTTGACAGAACGCATCCATTCTCATTTTCTCTCCGACAGTTCCACATCCTATTCGTGGCGTTTAAATCTCCAATAAGGATTGTGTGGGCGCTGTGCTCCGTTAAACTCACCAAGTCGTTGAAAGAGAATTTATTAGAGAGGGGGTTATAGGCTGCAATCAGTCTGTATTTAAGCAGCTTTACAGCGACATGCTCAATGGTTGAGTTAAGGTTGGGGAGGCGTGTGCATGGTATGTTGTTGGGTACTAGTAGTGCCACTCCGCCGCCGCGATTAACGGTCGGACGGTCTTGTCTGTGGACAGTATACCCCTTGACAGCAAGCCTGTCATTTTCGTGTAGTTTTGTTTCGGAAATACACAAAATATCTACTTTGTGTGCGTGAATAAAGTGAATGAGACAGTGTATTTTGTTGCTTATGGAATTTGCATTCCATAATACTACCTTCAAATCCTTCCTGTTGTACCTACAGCCCATAGGTTCTGAGGTTTGCAGCGAAATTTGAACTTTGAATTTGATCTGCTCCATGCCATTTGAAGCACCCGAAAGGGCTCTATTTAGGTCACGCACTGCACGAAGCATAGCGGGGACATTCACCAGGCTGTTAAGTTTGGTGAACTCGCCCATCAATGCCTGGTCATCCCCGCCGTTTTCCGCAGCAGTAGGCTGCGACAAGGGTGGACTCGTCGGCGTCGGCAGCAGAGGAGGTCTCTGCTGTTGCTTCTGCTGTGACAACTGTTGCTTACGCCTTTCCCATACATTCACCGCAGGAAGGGGAGCTGGAACAAAGTGTTGTTTTGAATGTTGGGATGCAGTGGTTGCGGGTGTGGCTACCGAGATCTTTTGGAGTCGGAAAAGGTAGCTCGGGCATTCCACCGAGTTTGCCGGATGAGCGCCCTGGCAATTTGCGCACTTGGCCGGCAGCTCTTTTGCCTTTGTGCAAGCGTGCGTAAGGTGAGGCTTAGCACACTTAAGACATAAGGGCTCCCGGTGACAATTGCTGGTTGCATGGCCCCATCCTTGACACCTGTGGCATTGGACGATCATCCGATCGTTCCTTTTTCTCTTCCAAAAGACCCTGGTGTGCGAAATGTATCGGACGGTCCGATCCAGCCATTGCAGAGTAACGGAGGGATCGGTCACGACCATGTAAAGGGGGGTGTATGTTTTCTTTAACTTATTATATATATTATTTTTGATTTCCAGTTTTTCCTGAATTTCTGCCAACTCGATATCACCAAGTCCCCTCACCACAAACGCATGAGTTCTGTCAGTTTGCTTAGTGTATGTGTGGTATGGGGCATTGTTGTTATTGAGTTGGGTAAGATAATTGTCATAATCGTCTTTTCTGGATAAAGTGACTACTGTATTGTTTTTCGTGTAACGTTTGTTAAATTCTCCCTGTGTGATTGATTGTATCGACCTTACTCCTTCTCCTTGATTTTCAAACCTTCCCTTGATTACGACCGGTGGCTGAGATTTCTTTTTTGCCGCTACTGATGCTGGTTTTTCGCTTTTCTTTTCTTCTGCGTTGTCGGTTAGCATATCTTCAACTGTTTCGTTAATTTGAGGTGGGGCCTTTTCAACTTCTAGTTTCTTAAATCTGTTCTCCGTCGTAATCATTTTTGGCTTTACAAATTGAATTTTTACTGGTGCTGCATTTCTGGGTTTGACAAACCCTTCATCATGCCCTTCTGTTTTCTTCTTAATCTTTCTTACGCCATCTTCCGTTTCGCTGTCTGTCGTCGTTGTCCCTTTGATGGATGCCTTTTTCTTTAATTTCTTCTTATTTTTCGTTCCTTCTTCCGCTGTCAGTGACTGGTCGCTCATGGGCACATCCGCTATGTCCTTCATATCTAATTTCTTGCTCTCCATCGAATTCATGACAGCTGTCAAGCCCATTTCATGACACTAAGTTTTGTTTAGCACAGGACCGCAAACGTTTTGAAAACGCGTCTCAAGGGGGTCCCCAGCCAAAAACTTGAACACTGTATACCAAATTTAGTGATTCTCGTACAACAGGGTTCTGAGATATAAGAAAAAGACTATTCTTATGGGCAACTTTTAGGGGGCTGTATCGTCGAAAAATGGGGCCAATTGGCAAAACTAAAAAATACATGTCCCCTGTATTGTAACCACCTTAAATAGGTTTGTACAAAAAAAAATGTTTTTGGATACATATATTGTTAAAAGAGGATATACAAAAAAGACAAACGTTTTCATTTAAAAATATTATTTTGTGACGTGTCTTGGTTGAAACATTTGCCTGCATCGTACAAATACTCCGTACGAGTGCTAAAGGGTTACTAAAGCTGTTGGGTCCCAATTTAAATAAATTTTAAAAAAATATTACGGAGCGAAATATGTTATTTTTGATTAATTTTAAAAGGGAATTTTTATTAATGCAAACTCGCAATTGAAACCCAAATATAATGCAAAATTGCTTTTTACCAAAATTGTAATATGTATACAGGGTGTCTCACCAGCGATGGTACCTTGGACGTTTACGGAGAACGGCTGAAGATATCAATTTTGAAATTTTTATAGCAATTATTGTACAATTTAATCTACCTTTTAAAATTATTTTGAATAAAATTCCTCTTCCGGTTTAACCGGAAGCGACATCAACTTTGTTATTTCCAATGGAACGGTTTGCTGGTATACTGTAAGGATTGTTGGAATCTTAAAACATTGTTTTAAAGATTCCATGTCTGAAATTTTCATATTTATGATCAAAAACCAGAGAAAAATCGTGGTAAATTTGGTTAACTTAAAACATTAATAACTTGTTTATTTTTAATGGAACGGTATGCATTTTTTTACATAATCAAATAGGAAAATGAATTACATTTCGATTAGTATAACCATTCCCTATACCTAAATAGTAAGGTTTCGGAAATACAAGCTTTCTGTAAAAATTCATACCGATGAAATGTCACAACAAATTAGTTATGTCATTGAACACCACTTGGTTAAGAAATGTATCAACTGTCAATCAATGACATTGATTGACAGTTGATACATTTCTTAACCAAGTGGTGTTCAAAATTTCGAAAAGCGTTTAAAAATTAAGTAAAATGGATAGAAACAACTATTCCAATGAGGTTTTGATGCAAATATTTATTATTCACGGACAATTTAATCTAATAGTAACAAGAACATGCAGAGTATTCAACGACAGGTTCCCAGATTTACCACCACTGAACAAGAGGAAGTTTAGAAGAATAAAACATAATTTTATTAATTTTTAATGAAGGTGCAACTGTCAAAATTTTACGAAAAAAATTATTAACTTGAAAACTATTAAGTTTAGGTATAGGGAATGGTAGAGCAATTTCATTAAGAATTTCATGAGAAATTTAAAAATAAAAAAATTTACAGGGTGTTCCATTGGAAATAACAAAGTTGATGTCGCTTCCGGTTAAACTGGAAGAGGAATTTTATTTAAAATTATTTTGAAAGGTTATTAAATTGGATTAAATTGTACAAAAATTGTTATAAAAATTTCAAATTGATATCCTCAGCCGTTCTCCGTAAACGTCTAAGGTACCATCGCTGGTGAGACACCCTGTATATATGTATGTAATAACTAAAAAATAATGCTTCCATGCGTGTATTTTTAAAAATTACTACTTTTTTTTTGTTAAATGTTTTGGATATTGTTTTCTTTTATTTGAGTATGAACTCTTGTAAGCTTGTTATTTCCTTTCCTACAAACATTTCTTCTAAATAAAAATGACTGTTATTATAAATATTTTTTAAAACGCCCAAGCTGAGTTTATGGCGTTTTAGTCACGGGATTAAGTTTGTCAATTTGTAAGATTACTTGGTGTCATGAAAACATATAAGATAATGGGCGTTTTAAAGGTAGAAGTGGAAAAACACATTTTTCACAAGAGGCGCACTTTATTTTGACAACAAAACAGATTGTGTGACATTTGACAACTGTTATCATTGTTCATACCGTGACATGGAAACATATAGGTACGCTACATAGTACTACGATAATGTGCGTAGAAAGAAACTTAAAATAAATTTAAAAAATATTTTGTTCACATTTTTATTTTTTTTTACAGAGTATTTAAACTGTATATAAAATTAATTTAAAAGCAATTAAAATTATAATTACTTAATGTGGGAAAATATTAATTGTTGTTGTCGGAATAATTAATTGTAAAATATTTTTAAATTTAAGTGACGGGTATAATTAATATTAAATGCTCGACCTTAATTTACGTTCAAGTGAAACGAACTCGTATAAATGTGATTAGACAGATTTTGATTTGGAAATTTTAACGAAGAAAATTAACGAAAAAGAAGGACGAAAACTAATTTAAATTATTACGCTTTTTCCTTTGAAATGACGCAAACGATTCGACAACATTCGACTATTTTTCTTTGTAGTTTTTGTACTTTGGTCAGTGGCGTGACAAAAATATAAAAAAGAACCAAATGTAATTAAGGACCTAAAGAAGTTTTCAACAACTTTCTACACCCTGATGTTAACAACAAACTAAGTACAAAGAAACACTGCTATTACAAAACTTACTTTCGTAGTTTAAAATCGATTAAAAATAAGATTTCTTTGACATTTAATTTATTCTCTTTAAATAGTTTTTCAGATTTGTTTTATATAGACAATACAATTAATTAATATAAAAACCAATGATATGCCAGTATTCCATAATTACCTACGCATTTTATCACAGCAACAATATTTTTTTAAATTCGTATATAACACACAATTCCGCCCTAGGCACACTGTCTCTATGGCAACATTACGATACGCAGTAATAATTTATAATTCGAATTTTCTATAATATTATTATGTATCAAGTTTGATAAAGGCCATTTTAGTCCCGAATATAAATTGGGCACGATCGAGCTCGTGAGCGAGTGTTTAATTAAATGAGTGTCTAGAAAAGTTTATTAACGAATTGCATAATATACTTTTTTTACGACAAATAATTAATATTATTAAAAAATAATTTTAATTAAATTTGAATAGGGCAAAATCTATAAAACAATAGAGTAACCAACTTGAGAATCTGTATTACCGGCGCGCCGGTGAAAATGTATTCCTTGAAAATGGACTAACAACAGTTTTTCACAGTGAAAGTGAAGAACATGTTTTATGAGCACTTCACGCTGGAGCCTCCACCCCAAATTAAGTTAAATCTAGTTTACTGCCGGCGAAATTAAAAATTCAGTACAATGTTCATATAAATATTGATATTAGTGTCATGGAATCATATACGATAATGGGCGTTTTAAAGGTGGGAGTGGAAAAAATAGTATCAAAAACTCATGTCATAAGACATTTGTGTAAAAAAATTACGTCTGATGACATTAGTTCTTTAATAATCTACTATTACCTTCTTTACACGTAACACGTTTAAATCCTGTTTTTGTTATATGATTAAAATAATGAATACTAAAACTCTAAAAGATCTCTGGGTTCAATGCCCAATAATGTAATTTTTGGGTGGTAGTTGCCCCCCAGAATTATTTAACCCAGTATTTTGCCACTCCAGAATTTTGAAGTAAAAATATCAATAACCCAGAGAGTCAAATAGGGCAAGAATAAAGTACAAATTCTACAAATAACTTTATTTTCAATAATAAAATTACTTACACAGGATAAGGCAATAATAATCCAACGTTAAACACTAAAAACTAATGTTAATTGTGTAAATTGATATAATCACATACGGCTTTTATCATATCCCCACAAATGGCCAAATATTGATAAAGCAAGTTGCTGATTAGATAAAATTTAGTTTGATACTTGGCTGTCTGGAAATTTACAAAGTTACAAAGGCTTTCGAAGGGAGTGTTGATAAGTATACATTTTCAAAGTAATTGACGACTTTAATTTAAGCCAAAACAGAACAGGTTATTTTTATACCAAATGAAGTCTTATGGCTTTATTTGGTTTAAAAATAACCTGTGATGATGACTTTAAGGAAAAGTTAAATAAAGCTTTGTTTTTGTATGATGTTGGCTTCATTTTTACTCACATGATGGGCTTTGCCACCCCAGTTCCAATTAAAAAGCTGAAATTACGCCTAAGGCTAGTAGCTAGAAAAAAGTTTCAGGGGGGATTGGTTGATAAAAAAAAGGTGCAACACATTAAAGCTTTTGTTCAAAAAGTGTTCTTAAATTTAATTTTCCAAAATTTCAGGGAGGATCAAGCCCCTCATCCCCCTATTGCCTACGGCACCACTGTTGGTTTAAATGATAAAAAAAATTAAAGTTTGAATATAAGATGTTTATTAAAGTCTTTTTATTTTCTATCTATTAAAAATAACTACAATACCTTAATATTGAATTTCTTTGAACAAAATATGCCAACAAGACATTTTTGTTTGTTCTTTTCCTTGCTTTCTTCAAACCACTTCATGAAAGTTCATAGCGATGTTTCTACTTCTTGTGGTATTATAAAGAGCACAATTGTTCAATTCCTGTTTTTTCTTAGCTTTTAGAATCATGCATAGTTTTTTATAAATACTGCCCTACTATGGAGAAAGGCAGTAACTACAAAAAAATTCTTAATGCGTTTTCTTGTGCTATGATAAAGCTATGGACATTTTGTATCTTAATTCAACTAAGAAATGCAGTAAACTATCTTATTAGTTAAATAAATCCATTAAATATCTACTGCTTTTTATAAAATTAGTTTATGCCCATTTTCCACAGATTTCTTGTTTAGCAGTTACTGCCTTTCTCCATAGTTGGGCAGAATAAGTGGCATAAGCCGCCATATTTTTATTATGAAATTCTGTCGAAAATCTAATTTTCAAAAAACACAAAATTTAAAGCAATTTCAGCAATAAATAAACAAATCATACAGA